CAGTAGTTGAAATGGATTAGCACCAAACTATCACAGAGCATTCTTTTCAGAGGTTGGCTCAAAATAAAACAATTACAGTATAAGAGTTTCAATGGCATATAAGTTTTTTTCATTAAATTTTTAACACGACAAGTGAATCTAAGATCAGTGTCAAGCATCACCCCTAAGTTTTTAGCTGTATTGACAGGAGTCAAGACAGTATGACCTAGTTCTAAATGGAAATTGTTTTCTGCAAATTTACGATTCTTCTGCGATCCAAAATGCATCATCATTGTTTTATTTGGATTAACTTTGAAATCATTAGCCCATTGATCAAATCAAGATCAGTGTTGAAGAGATTTTGTGCCTCAGCATACTCATATCGATTTTAAAGTACATGTATAATTGTATGTTATCAGCATACGCCTGTATTTAATGTTGATAAATCAATTCTGCCTTCCTCAAACGTTATTTTTCGCATTTGATGAAAATAAACATCAAGGAACTGAACAATCAATGCCGGTCAAAATAAAATTATTTTCATTTATAGGTGTGTTCTAGGCACATTTCCTCGGTCCTTTTCTTCTTTATCTCATCACTGTTTCGAGAATTACGCCTTATTTGTTATCACTAATTTATCACCAATTCTTGGACCAACAACTTTTTATGAATTTTTGCTTGTATAAATCATTTTTCTTGCATCATCGTCGCCTCCACAAATATTTGCTCATGAACCTGGTCGCACACCAGACTAAAGTTCTTATCTCTCTAAAACACTGCCTTATCTATACGTTGTTTGAGAAAATGAAATTAATGAAACAAGTGCTAGTTATCTGATCGGTCCTGAAAATATTGTTTATTCTGTTAATGCTGCAGGCTGCTAAAAGTGTCTTTCTATCGAAGAGTTATGAGGTACTTTATAAATGTATAAGAGCACATTACACGTTTAGTAATAATGTCATTAGCTGGAAATAATGACATTAATAATGAACGTGTAAAGTATTGAAACGGTAATGAAGTGTATCCGGATATTTTGATTTTCGTGCATCATTCTTAACAGTGGAAGGGAATACTGTCAGTAATAATGATCGTGTAAAGTGAGGGCCCCATTATGTCGTCATTACTCAGTTCAATATTTCAAGAAAAGCTGTACATATTGAAGCCGGTGACATTGCAACTGAATACTTTAAATCATGGAAGCTTCTTCCGATGGCTAAGAGTTAATCTTTCATTAATTGGTAAACTGTTCCGCATAACCGTATTTTTTCGTGTTAAAATTCGTTGTACCATTTGCAATAATGTCTTCGTGTCTTCGTCCATACGAAAATAATTTTTATGATCAATCGCTTCCTTCATATCACTTATTTCTTTCATTAACACTAAATGTGAATGGTTTTCCCGTTTTTCTAACCACTCCTTCATCCAATAACGGCGTTTAACATAACGATTCATACTTAATGCAATAATTATAACTAGACATGCTTTTGTTTTAAAATCTATAATCGATAATAAAGACACAGACTATGTGATTTCTACGCCACTCGAAACATAATAATGGTGAAAAAATAATATCGGTAATAATGAACATGTAAGGTGTAAAAAATAAAGTTTTACAAAAACGCAACACGTGTATCGCCATGCAATAGCTTCTTCAGGCGTGTTATACTTCGGGCGTTACACACGCTTGAAGAAATTATTGTTTAATGAAACACGTATTGCGTTTTTGTAAAACTGTGTTGTGAAAATCTCAAAGTGTTTCTTGAATCCTGAATCGGATTTAAAACATAAATGCGCTTTTTTGTTAAATACTTTTGTTCGATTTTATTTTCAATACTTGTAACAAATTAAAGAATTAACTGTCTTAAAAAATGTATTTCCAACAATATTTCCCTAATCACAGATTAATTTATTTATTACAACACTTAGCAACTAACGCTTATTTTCACTGTTTGAATTTCTTGTTTAGCCACTCGATTCAATTTCTGAACTGTCTTCTTGGGTCGAGAAAACGAGCTTATATCGGTAACGGTCCTTTCTAGTCGGTCCTGTAGTCGGTTAGGTACAAGAATTTTACCGGCGATTCCCGACTGCATTCCTTCGCGGTGATGACGTTTCGCCACGAAATGTCATCACATTGGCAATTAATCTTCAAAAGTTTTAATTATGGGAAATCCATAAGTCCCTTACTTGCGGAAATGTTCATGGATAACCTATATAGAGAAGTAGATTTTCAAACATCCTTTAATTAAGAATTTCTTGTATTGGCATAGATGTGTGGATGACGTTTTGGTATGTTTTACAGGTACCAAGAGAATTAGATACTTTTCATAGGGATATTAACAAAATTCATGAAAACATTAAATTCACTATTGAAGTAGAAGCAGACAACTCAATCAATTTCTTGGACTTAACAATTAGTAGAATGAACAACAACCATGATTTTTCAATTTATCACAAACCGTCCTATACGGAAATTACTATGCATTACGATTCTACCCATCCATATCAACACAAAGTAGCAGCTTACAATAGCATGATTCACAGATTAGTCAATGTTCCTCTTTTAATAGATAATTTCAATAAAGAACTTAATATCATCAAGCAAATTGCAGTAAATGGGTTTAAAGCCGAATAAATAAACAAAATACTTTCCAAAAAAGTGTACGCAAAAGCGATTTGAGACGTTTTTCCTATTGATAAGTTAGAGATAATCAAAATTATAGAGCCGTATTAGGAGCCGTGTTAGGAATCACACGTTGAAAGGTAAGACCTCGTTAGTCCTTAGCTCGCACAAGTTTCTCAACTTCTGAGTGTTGTCGTTCGTATGGGGGCGACAGCTGATTAACGGATTTTAAACAGATTTTTTTTAACGTAATTTGGACAAACAACGGAAAAAGTGGCTTCATTTTTGAGGAACGATGTATTGAAATTGCATATAGAACAAATAATGTGAAGGGAAAGTTAGTTAAAAATAATAAAGACAAAACATCCAAATTCGAGAAATCAGGAGTATATGAATTAAAGTGTGGAACGTGTCCTGTATATATTGGCCAAACTGGCAGAACATTTAGGAATCGAATCCAGGAACATCATATGAGCTATGTATATAAAAACAAATTTCAACATACTCAAATCATCTTGTACAAGAAAATCATATTTTTAACACAAATTTCACACCTAAAAAATGAAAGTTTGACACTGAACCATTTGGAAGCAATGGAAATTAATAAACTTATGAATTCAAACATTATAGAACTTGTTTTCTTATTATTATTATTGATGTATAAGTGAGGTAATATGATTCAGATGATCATAATTGAAGAGGTACCTCAGGTAGAAGTTCAGGTAATTTCTTGGAGGTAGTCCCAATTGCAGTTACCTGTGGTATATAAATATTAGCGTAAGAAGAAACTACTATTCAAATCACTGTTGATAAAGCTAGTAGGTTAGCGAAACATGTCGTGATATATTTTTCAAATAAAGTTTGTGGAAATAAAATCGTGAGGTATAGTTTATGAAATTACTATGGATCTTCATCAAGTAACGGTCGAATCAATCAGAAAAAAATATATTACGACGTTTGAATAACATTCAAAGAGAAAGTTTTAACAGAATTTGGTTATACTGTGTGTTCTATTAAGTGTTCGATAACCATCTTAACTGAACCTGGAGTGGTTTCTAGACAATAGACAGACCATGCAGGTCAAAAAATATAAAATTGATTCAAGACTAAAGCACCGTTATTTCAGAAAATTAGACAGAATTTCATATTTTTTTTCAAGAATTCCGATTTAATCATACTCAAATCGTAGCATTTTCCTGAAATTTACTAGAAATTAGGTATGTTTTTAGGTGACAGCCAACTTTTATTTATTGCAACAATGTTTAACAGAATTCTAAAACTTCTCAACTATTTTTATACCAAGGCATATATACTAATAATAATGTGCATTTGAAAAAAAATTCGGGTACAAGTACTGAATTTGTATTTCATATTATTATGAATATGTTCGAAGTTTAACAGATGATAAAAAAAACGTGAAAAAATTGTGCGAATAGCCATGGACCGCTTAAAGAATCTGCAGTTTGACAGTTTATCTTTTTCAAAATGATATATCTTCTTCTTGTTCTTTTTATCCCATAGCATTCATAATCAGTACTGTAAATTGAATTTCCAGAATTACAAACGCCTCTCAAGTCTCAAGATATTATTGACGTGTCCCGAAATAGTTTTAATTTGTGCAGATGCTTTGCCGACTATCGCCGAATGAAGAGAATAAAAAGTTGGCTTGTTTTAGTTCATCCAATCGATGAAATAAAGTGGGTAAGCAGTTCCCAAAATTTCATGCCACTTATGTATAATGAAATGTGACTGGTCAAATTGTTCGATTTAATTTCAAACGATTTTTTCGTGGGATTCGTAATGAGTCACGCCGATAGTTTTGAAAATATCTGATAATTTGCAAAATCCAACGAAGTTCTTGCTCCTTCAATTATATGTTTGGTTTTTCCGGTAACCAGTTGTCGCCCCCAATGTAATATCCCCGAACTAAAATATTATACCCAGTGTCGCCTTACTATTAAATTTCACGGAACCGTACCTTGTACTTTGGCATTCGAAAATGTGTTGTTTCTCAATTTTCCGTTAACTTAAACTCTAAATAACTTGCAGCGTTCGAAAACATCGGCTGCTATTTATGCCTGCGTAATATAAACAACATCAATTGTGGTCAATGACAGACTGAAATAATTCATGAATGATGTCAGTCCGTAACACCCGATTCCGACCAATTAACAGACTCGGCGAACAATTGAATGAATTAGACACCACCTACTATTAGGCTCATTCAAAAAGCGTCTATTAATTTTCTCTCTGTGAACCGTTTTTAATGTTGGTCCTGTTTTGTTCTATTGAAGTGCAGTTGTTTTTGTAGTTAGACGAATGAGCGTCTTCCGACGCGAATTCGTTTCCACTTATTAAAATGTTGGTTTACGTTGACGGCCTTTTTTTCGTGTTACAGTTCGATCAGAATGTGTTCGCCAAATGCACCAACCCGGAGGGACCTGTCGCTTGGGCTCAATCGTTCGAGAAACTTCTAGAGGATTCGCTCGGACTTCATATGTTTGCGGTAAGTTTGACTATAACTATAACATACATTTTCAAAGACCACATAACTAACGGAGTTCAACAAGGCCCAGTACTGAGGCTCACCCTATGTCTCCTTAATAATAATGTCCTGCCATAAAAGTAAAACAATTGAACGAGTATAACAGATAACAGCCCATGATTAGTTACGATTCCAATGCACAGCACCGGACCTGGACTAGCACTGACGTCAAAAAAGAGGTGGGGATTTATTATAGTGTCATTTGGCAAACAACGTAGTTATTCTGAAAGTATGGAATAGACGTAATACTAGGTAACTATGATCAGAAATAGAATGTGTTTGAAGAGGAATGCTGTTCGGAACTTTGGCATATGGCACATGAGCTTTGAAATGGGAGGGTACCGAACCTCGATTATATCTTATCAAAACACTTGGAAAACAAAAACTGGGATGCCTAGAAGGCGGACCGGTAATCATACCTAGACTGGTTAGATTTTTGGAATGAAGGGGCTCTAATAATTTTAGAATTGGTAGCAGAGCTATTACTGGGGGTTATTGTTTCTACTTACAACGAACTTGTCCCATGGTTAGCTACTAGTCGAACAGGAATGTTCCTTGGTGAAATGAATGTCTCGTACAGAGGTTACAAGGGCAAGTGTTTAGTGTTAACTCTTATGTTTCACTATGAAACGGCTTTTGACGGACTATTTTGGCAAAAATGAGAGTGTTACCAGCGGCGCAAAGGTAAGTGTATATGTTATATTTATATTCACTTGACCCGAACTTCTTAGCTCGCCTCACATTAACGGCGGTTAATAATTTTTTTTAGATTGGAAGAAATTGGATAGTCCTGCTCTTGATGAACCTGGTACTTCAGCCTCAAGCTCCAGTCATACACCGGACAATGTTAACATAGACTGCAGCAGTAAAATGGACATTTCTTTGTACAAAACTAAGCGGCTATCAGGCACAGAGAAGTTACATGTTTTGGAAAAATTGTGGGTTTCATCTTCCAACTTCAAGTTTCCAGCGACGACTCATGGAAAGCAGGAGAGGAAGTTTTTGTATTCCTGGTTACAAAAGTATAAGTGCTTGTCATACTCTGAGATAGAAAACCGGGCTTACTGCACTCTTTGCTCCAACTGAAATGGGTATGAGATCATCCCAGAAAACGAAAACAGGCCAGCTTGTCCAAGAAGGATTTCAAAATTGGAAAAAAGCTATTTAAAAAGTTGAGTCACATTCTCAATTACAATACCACAAACATGACATGATCGTTCTCAACAATTTGAAAACAGTAATGGAAGGGAAGATGAATCCCATAGACAGATCTTTGATGCAGGCAAAGCCAATCAGGCGAAAGAAAATGCGGAGAGGTTAAAACCTATAATAGAAACGGTAATTTTTTGTCGACGACAGGGAATAGCTCTTCGAGGCCACAGAGACTACGGAGACTTCAACTTAGACGCAATGCCAGATGATAATGAGAGGAATTTCAGAGCCCTATTGCGGATGCGTATTGAAGCAGGTGATGAAAAATTAAGAGATAATTTCAAGTCGTGTGGTAAAAATGCCACTTATATAAGCTGGAACATCCAGGACCAAATCATTGAAGCTTGTGACAAAGTAATAACATTCACATAGTTAAAGATGTTACTTTTTTTAGTGTGTTAGCTGATGAGATGACAGACTACAGACGTGTCGACTCAAGAACAGGTTTCATTGTCTGTGAGGTATGTATCTCATAACACGAAGGATGGTTATAAGATTAATGAAAAGTTTTTGCAGTTTGTGGCTCCAAGTGCAATCTTGAAATAAAAGGTCTGAGAGGACAAGGATATGATGACGCATCAGCCATGAGCGGAAAGGTCAAAGGTGCACAGGCTTTTGTGCAGAAACGTTGCCCGAAGGCAATACTGCGCGTCACACAGCCTTAACTTAGCCATTACAAATGCTGCAGAGGTCAGATCTATCAGAAATTATTTTGGCACTGCTGAAAAAGTATGGTCTTTTTTTAACACACCAAAGAGGCAAAATGTTCTCCAGGGAAAAATTGAAACCCTAGCACCAAACTCAACTTGCTATGCCCAACCAGATGGATTCAAAGGCATGATGCTGTCCTCGTCATGAAGGAGCTGTACAACCCTATCATTTCATCCTTAGATGAAATCAAGTGTTGGTATGATAAGGACACATCTTCAGGGACCGATGTCCTTTTGACAACTATATGTCACTCAGAATATATTAAAGCTCTAGTATCAGCTGAAAAGCTACTCGGCTACACTTTGACATTGTGTCAAAAGCTACAGTCAAGTGATGCGAATCTCTGAGCAGCTTTGAACTTTGCTGACTATGTACTTCAAAGTCTGAAGTCACTAAGAGAAAAAGTTGATGAAGAGTTTTCAGTATGAAGAGTTTTCAGTCTTGTTTCAAGAGGCACAAAAAATGGCCGAATTGAGTTAAACTATAATTAGTGTTCCAAGGATTGTTGGGAGGCAGACACACAGAAGCAATGTCTCAGCCGAAAGCACAGAACAATTTTATAGAATTAACGTATTCATCTCCTGGATTGAAAGTTTTATTTCCTGCATCGAAGAACGTCTCTTAAAGCACAAAAACATTTTGGAAGGGGTTCACTGCTTGCTTAATACTTATTCAGAGAATAGTGAAGAAAGTAAAGAAATGAAAGGGGCATTTTTGAAATTGATTGAAGTTTATGAAGAAGATTTGGAAAACAACAGCTTAAACGTGTTGATGGGAGAAATGGAAGTTTACCAAGCTTTTCTCCAACGAAACAAGGCACACCACGTCAATGTAATTGATTTTCTAAATATTTGTGATAAAACAATCTTTCCAAACATCCATATCCTGCTCAATATTTTCATCACTATACCTGTATCGACCAGCACAGCAGAGCGCTCTTTTTCCACTCTTCGGAGAATCAAGACATACCTAAGAAAGGCGATGTCTGAGAGTAGGCTAAATGGCTTAGCCAATCTTAATATCCACAGGGAAATTCCAGTTGGCACAGACAGTGTATTATCCATACTGACGAAGACCCAAAGAAGATTCAATTTTGTTTTGTAAGACAGCCGATATAAAAAGATTTTGTCAAAATAAAACCTAAAATCTTATTTTATCTGCTGATTTTTATCATTCATTTCTATAATCCCTACTCAAAACTTACATTCAAAGAGCTAAAATGAACTTAACACGTTGACTGCCCCCGTATATATTCTATACTTTTGACAGGTGCCAATCTATTTTTTCAATGAAATTCACATTTTTTATATCAAATATCCCAGAAAACATTAAGAATAGAAACCCTATTCTGTTGTTCATTTCATTTCTGTTAATTCATTTCAACCGTATAAATCGTCGGCACCAGATGATATTTACCGGTCTAATAAAAAAAATCTCACACCAGAACTAAAACACTGTTTCTCGACGCGCACTAGTTCCGGTGTGAGAAAAGTTTTCATTAGATTAATTTTGGGTTAAGAGGTTCCAATTCTACCTATCAAGATATTTGCCCAGTAATGCTGTGACATGGACAGGAATTCCTTCAACATAAGTCCAAATAAACAGTAGTAGCATTCACCAAAAGTATCGAACGTAGGACCTCTACAACTACAACGTGGATATACTGTCAGAGAAGTTTAAATATATGGGAGTGACACTAGATACCAAACTGGTCTGACAGGATAAAAAGGAAAGCGGATATAGCACTGATGATGATTAGACGTATTTAAGGAAAGACATGGGAAACCAAACTCAATAGTGGTTAAACCCGGGAACAACAGAACAGCTAAAAAATATTACTGGAGTTTTTCCAATACCAAACCGCTATTTTAACACCTCGACACGTGTTTCGATCACCAAGTGATCATCTTCAAGAGGAAGATTAAAGGAAGTTTAATCTTCCTTTTGAAGATGATCACTTGGTGATCGAAACACGTGTCGAGGTGTTAATATAACAGTTTGGTGTTGGAAAAAACTTCAGTAATATACATTACTACACCAAAGGTTCCAAAAAGTGCATTACAAGAACAGCTGAACTTAAGAACTTACAGGTAGACTCAACAACTTACAGCAGTGTCAGCTCCGGAGTATATATTGAACACTGTCAGATCCCACTGCCTTAATATTGAGGCTGAGAAAGATTTGCTTAATTTTTTTTTGAAATTTCTCTGTCGAAGATCTGAGTGAACGAGATTCACTCATAAACTTAATGATCATGGATATTATTTTGGCTATTAGTACTTAGATCTGATATGCCAGCTTTGTAAAGAGTGAGCCAAATTGGACACTTTTAAAAGGAAACTCCTGTTTTCATCATCTTCAAGAGGAAGATCAGTTTGATCGAAACACGTGTAGAGGTGTTGAAATAACGGTTTGGTGTTGGGAAAAACTCCAGTAATATTCGTCACTACACCAAAGGTTCCAAAAAGTGCATTATAGGGATGATGAGTTAGAATAAATAGTCGTTTTAGGAGCTGTTGAAAATAATCCCAAAACAGTAACGCGAAATTTGAAAATATCAACAGACGTACCAAGAACTAACGTTAGGAGGAATTTTGAAAAAACAAAAATTCAAGCCGTATAGGATACAGGACCAGAAGAGTTCGTCAACTCGGACCAGGAGATTTTGAACGCCGCATGGCTTGGCACTGCCAGTGGTTTCTGGAAAGTTGTAAGCAAGTGCGTGATTTTTCGGTAAATTGTATTTGGACAGATGAAGCTTATGTGAGTAGTGCCGGCATTTTCAACCGCTACAATTCTTATACTTGAGAACAACAACAATATCCTCATTCTATTGTGGAGCAGAGAAGTCAGGGAAGATTTGGATTCAGTGTGTGGCAGGTGTTTTCAGGGAAAGAATCATCGACCCGTTCATTTATAATAGCACTCTCACATCTCAGAGGTGTTTATAAAATTTAAGGCAAAATATTGAACCCCTTGTTGATGAATTGCCACTAATGTAGCTCAGAAAAATATATTTTCAACAAGACGGGGCTTCGCCTCACAACACTGCAATGGGGAATGTTCCTCAATTTGGGTTATTACAGCAAATGCAAGTCTGAACAAAATAAAGTTGAGTTTAATTCATGAGTTTTTAAAATTCACTTCGAAAAGTATTCAAATTGATGTTTCAAATGTTGGGTTTCAATTTTTAAAGGGATTTGTTTCTAATTTACATATTGGCAACAGCGCCTATATCAAGATGAAATAATTTATACGTACCTAGATATTCTACTTTAAAAAAGGAAAATTATCTTTATAAATCAACAATTAAGGCAAAATATAAATTATAGTTCAATACCACCTCCACAAGCCATATAAACCACAGTTGTTTTGTTATTTATTTATATAGAGGAAGATAGTTTAGGTGCCCAAAATGTCATGTCACAGAATGTCTCGGAACTCGGAACATAAGTAAACAGAACAGCACGCCTCTGAAATATGTCATCTTTGTTTGTCTCATACAGATAACAGATCCATTGTCCTTTATTAGCTATAACCGATGTTGCCAAATGGTGAAATAGAAACGAATCCCTTCAAATGTTGAATGCATTATTTCATTCCTATTTTTTAAGTATTTAAATAATTTTTTAAAGAAAAATGTTGAAATGATAAGTTTAGAACGCGTTGTTTTAGAGCTCTTTTATGAAAACTACTTGATTTTCGTCAGGAGAAACATTTCCCATTGTCACCGATTTTTCGGCTGCAAATTTTGGTAATAATTGGATAGTCAAACAAAGACCCAAATTTCTTTCTGTTTTATCGCCACGTCGTCCAAAGCCTATTTGATCAAAGTGTGCGTTTCAAAGTCGACATGAAAAAATCTAAAAGTTTTGTATTTCAAAGATGACTCTAGCAAAACATCAAGTGTGTTACATTTTTGGAAAGGTAATTTTGAGCTCTATTAAAATATGCAGGAATATAGGGGGTATCTATCTCATTGAAAAATAGTTCTCCATCAATAACTATTGATATCTCATTTGAAAAAAATTATTTTTTACACAATTGAATTCGACGTAAATAGGCGTTGGAAATGTTTTCACAGAAACAAGAAATTTTGACAGGAAAAAGGTTACAGCAAATTTTCGAAAACTGCTCATTTTCGAAAAGCAGCATATATTTCTCCATGAAAATTTAGAATTTTTACATTAAGTTTGATAACGTCATATAATGTGAAAAAGTATTCATTTTCATAAAGGGGAAATTTGTGATTTTGCTTAAAGTTTAGTGCCTCTTGGGGTGGTGTAATAAATAACTCCGTCAAATATTTTCGTAAGTCTGGTATGTTAAATCACAGTCAGCAGTTTCACTACGTCAATGCAATTATAAAAAATACTATATTCTCTTTGAAATTTGAAACCACTTTCGTTGAAGTGAATATGAGGATTTGAAATATTTGGGCGTCCCGTCCGTTTCGGAAAAGACCTAAAGAAATAATTCATTTTGGTAAACCTGAATTCCACATTAGTTTTTCTTTATTTTTCAGGAGTTTCTCAAAAAAGAATTCAGCGCGGAAAACATCTACTTCTGGACGGCATGCGAAAGGTTCAAGAAATTACCACCTGGGATCGAAAAACAAGCTGAAGCACGCAGGATTTACGAGCAACACCTCAGCGTCGGATCTCTCGAAGCCGTTAACGTAGACTCACAAGGAAGGCAGTTCACCGAACAAGTCCTCCAAGAAATGAATAACAATATGTTCGATCAAGCCCAGAAACAAATCTTCAATCTAATGAAATTCGATAGCTATCCGAGGTTCTTGAAATCTGATATTTACAAGCAGTGCTTGTTGGGAGAGGTGGATAAGGCAACGATTGATACTAGGTAAGACAGTGTTTTGTCTCACTTCTGACACCATTGAATGTTTCATCCCACTTCTGGAATTGTTATTTTCAACCCGCCTCTGACACCAACTAATGAAAACATCACTTTTTAGGTTACTTTTGGAACAGCAGCAAAAGAAATCGCCGTCGAAACTGATGAAATCTGTTAGCAACGCCGAAGATAGAAGGAGAAAATCCCTTTTACCTTGGCATAGGAAAAACAGGTCGAAATCGAGAGATAGAGGTGAATCAGAGTACGCCCAAAGAGAAAATGATGAAACTGTCAATGATCGATCGGAAAATTATATTGTTAGCAGTGGTCAAAATGACGTCCATTCGAGTGGGTCATCTTCAACCTCTCTGGAATTCGTTATTATAAATCAGGTAACATTTTGAGAAACGAAATGATTGAGGCATGGCACGATTCCACTTCCGTTTTAATTTCATTCCTTTCAATATGTGAACTTTCCAAAATAAAAGTCAAAAGAATTGGCACATCCTGTTATGAAATGGGACAAAAGGCATATTGAAAGAATAAGTACTTCTTCAATAATACCATCCTAATCAATTCTTCATTTTTTGTTTAATTTTGAAGTAACCTGTTCTCGTTATATGTGACCCGTAATAGAAATTTTTTTTATCACAGGATTCTGACAATCAAGCGCAGGCGACTCTAGAAAAATTATCTTCGAACGGGGCGAAAACTGCCTTATGTAGAGTAATTTTGAACAACGGTACTACAACCGTTGTCAAAATAAAGGAATCTGAAACTATCCAAGAGCTGGTGACCAGAGTGTTGGAGAGAAAAGGGCTGAGCTATTCATCTTTTGAGGTACTCACTGACAAGCATGAAAAGGTGAGAAAATCTGTCTATAAACTATTCTATTTAAAAATAATTTTGGTGTTTTCTAATTTGTATATATAGAAACTAATGTGACATTTAGGCTTCTTACGAGAAAAGGCTGAACCAGGTAATTTATTACATTTTTCGTTGACTTCAGAGCATAGAACTTCAAGAAGAAAGAGAACCATTTATTGAGTTTATATTTTTATCAACATTCGTATTAATCATAGTCTGTATTTTGAAGAAATTATGATGGAATGTGAGATTCCATAACTGGATGAGATCTTGAAAAAATCCATATAGTCCGGAAACTAGTTTTAGTAGTTTCCTGATAATAGTATATTGGTTAGAAATGTATTTTCATCAAACTTTAACGGCCACGCCAAAGGTTCCAGATAGCCGCAACAGTATTTTTCTGCTTTGAGTTTTTAGTGTTACAAATTTTTCACGTAACCTTCCAATGCTTTATCAAATTTTTAATATTCACACCAGTGAAGATGGTAATTTTAGCAAAATCAATGAGCAGTATAAGTTTGCTGTATAGTTTGTTTGGGTTGAGAATTTTTGATATGATATCACCCGAAGATGATTGTGGATACTAGCAATCGAAACGTCGTGACGTATCTTGGCTTGGAACACTTTAATTTTTATTTCATTTTAAATGTTCAATTTCAATTATTTGCTCAATTTTTATTTTATTGTAATTTCATTTCGGGGTGTTGTTGTTGCTTAATATAATTGTTATTTTTATTCATTTCGATTTTTATTTGTTCTTTCAAGAATTTCAAATCATGTTTGTTTGAAGATGGTTGACAATGTTTCGTGGTGCATTTCATTGTCTAATATGATATAAATTGATTTGAAATATCTGAAAGAATCTGTAAAAATTAAAAAGATTAGTTGAAAAAGAACAAATATATTATATATATTAAGGTGATAACAGTTATCACCCGAAGACGATTGTGGATACTTACAATCGAAACGTCGTGACGTAACTTGGTTTGGAATTTTTTAATTTGTAATTTCAGTTCTTTGTTTGATGAAAATTGTTATTTTTCGGTTAATCTTTTTATTGTTTTCATTTTTTTATAGATTCTTTCAGGGATTTCAAATCAATTTATACTATTGTAGACAATGAAAGCCCGAACTGATGAAATATTATATTTATTGTGCTTAATGTGCGCCAACAACGCGTTAGAAATCTTCATTTGAACACGTTTTTAGTCTAACGTGAGCAAACGTTGCACCCAACGGGCGGAGAGCTTTTTCATGCCTAAAAGTTGATGTAATATGTGACAAACATGTTTATTTGACATGTTCATAACCATTGCAATTTCTCTCACTTTAATTCGGAGGTCTTCTAGCACCATTTGAACTTTGGCGATATTTTCGTCGGTAGTTGCAGTTTTTGGACGTCCCTAACGTTCGCCTTCCAAGCTCTTATGGTAAATAATGGTGCAAAGTCCCCATACACAGAGTCCAACTCATCTTTGATATGCGTAGGCGTCAAAATACCCACATCAACTCACTCAAACGACTGTTGCATAACAACTGCACGTCCATAATGGCTGAAACTTTGTAACTGTCAACAGATGAACAAAAAAATTCATTAGCTTTTATTTATGAGTGCTGTTATCTTCATGTTGAGGTCGAAAACTTTTCAGACCACCCTCGTAAATATAAATCAAGACGCAATTTATCACATGGTAGTTTCAATGTATTTTATATAACAATAAGTAGGTACAAAACTCAATTAGATAAATGATTGAATCTGGTGACACAGGTAGATTTTCAAAAAATGATTACAATGCGGTATAACTTTTAGGAAAACAAGTTCAACAGTGGTTAGTGAATAACTTCTTGTTGGTCATTCATAAGGAAATTTGAATGTTTGCATTTATTGATGTCCAGAGATTCGAGCCGATTCAATTATTTTCCTTCATTTTCTGTGTGTAATATGTCATAGTCTATGGTGAAATTGTGGTTGTTCTCTAAAAGGTGGCTAGTGTAGGTGGAATTTTCTATATAAATTCTTGGACACAATCCATATGTTCATTTGTAGAACCCTGATTTGTTATTTTTGTCCCTGTTTGACTTGTTGTTCTTTATATGTCAACCCAAGAAGTTACCGGTCTTGTATGCTATGTTAACGTTCTCTTCGGTTAATAGTCTTTTTATTTTATCTGATGATTTTCCTGTATATGTGAGTGTTTCGTAGATGTTTGTGTTATTTTTAATCCTTGACAAAAACTCTTCAAACTGACCATTAATCGAGTATCATCAGATAAAATAAAAAAACTACTACATTACCATAGAATCTACGAATATAAAAGAAGTTTTGAACTGAAGAAACCCAATTCCACCTATGATTAGATCTTTTTATGTAGAACAACCACAATTTCAACATAGACTACGACATATTACATACAGAAATTAAAGGACAAAAATTGAACCTGCTAAAATCACTGGAAATCAATAAATGCAAACATTCAAATTTCCTTATAAACGACCAACCATGCCATAAAATGCCAACTATCAACGTATTTATGTTTTTTTTTCCAGAGGTAATATTGCAGTATAATTGTTTTTTTCCAAAATCTACCTGTTTTACCAGAATTAATCATGTATTTAATTAGGTTTTGTACATACCTATATAGTATTATTATAAAAGACGTAGAATAGTTTAATGTACCAGTTCATCTGAAGAAACACTTCTTGAAATAAATTTATAATGTGAAAATTGTATAATTATTGTCATGGACTTGGGGAATATGATGTGAAATTCTCTGTATACAGCCATTCCAGAAAGAAATGTACTTACTGTCACACACTTGGGTAATATAATAAAGGTTCTTCATTTTTCACACAAAATATAAACCAAAACACAATTCATCCATTAAATGATTGAAACATCTGATAAAAGGGGGGGCAAGTGAATGTGTTCAGAACACACATTCTTTTCAAATGAACTTTGAATATACTATCCTGAATATTCCTTATTCTTCACTTTCAAAAATTATTCATTCCAAAATAAAGATATGGAATTCCTTCATTCAAATGATTAATTTTCAGTGCTTGGACGTGAACGAACCCTCTTCAAAACTGACAGACTGCGAAGTGACTGTCGAACAACGAGTCGTATTCAAACTGGACCTGCCCAACAGGAAAACGATCAACATCAGGTCGAAATACACAAAAATCATCATCGAGGTATTGAGACCGAGTCTGCACAAGTACCAATACAATTTAGACCAAGTCATCGTGATGAACGGAAAATCCCCCATAGATCTACATTTACCTGTGACTTCCATAGATGGCATGAGGTTGAAGGTACTGCTTTGCGAGGGTGAGTACATTTATTGTTTCCTCTAAAAAACATGTTGACCCAAGGATTTGCAGTTGGCATTTTTGCCAACTTCACATGTGAAACACGTATATTTAGTTGTATTGTATGAGATAATACATTGGCAATAAATTTAAAGTTTATTTAGTAATCAAGATTTATAACACTGTAGAACTTTCATTAAAATATTCCTGAACAAACTTGTCAACTTAAGGAAGAGACAAAAAACGTACAGGGAGAATAACAAGTTTCCATTTTGGAAATTATTATTATTATTATAGTTATCGCTACTATATTCATTAATATTAGATATAATATTTTAAATATCAGTTGTCTTCCTAAAGCTATTTACAAATTATCATAATTTATAAAACCATTAAATAAGGAGATGAAAATATAAAATATCATCAAGCAATTTCCCAGAAATCAGAACAACAAAATGTACAAAATCATACAACTGCTCTGAAGCCTTCACACATTCCTAATAATTGTTTAAAATTTTTGAATCAATGTATTTGAGTCCGGCATAAAACTACTAGCACACGGATCTTTTATTTTTGAATCACTCTAATGAAATTTGATTTGACTATAGTAGAGAAGAGTACTTTTATTTGACTATTTTACATACTATAGTATATTTATGGCAAGTCATGAATACAGAAATCCTTGTTCGTAGTTGAAACGATGATATCATCTTCTAGGAAAAAAAGTAGGGTAATTGAATGTATAAATATAAAATCATTGAATTGAGGATTTAATGAGGTGTTGGAGAAAAAACTTTCTAATAGTACATTTAAGTTTTGCAAAGCTTAGTGCCTTCATAGATGAGTGGAAAAGGTTATGAAAATGTGGGTTCAGTGAATTTCTCTTACTAATTGTTGATTTATGTCTGGGCAGATTCAATAAACTTGCAGATCTCGTTCCATATGAGTAAATATCACAATGCCTGTCAAATTTATTAACGTTTTCATGAATCTAGAAAAAGTTTATAGATATATAATGTGGCATAATGCTAAGTGAACAAAAACAGTATGACAGAGCTGCAGTGTAACCTGCTTTGCTATTTTTCTTATGGCCTGTTTCTGGCACCTGAAAACACTAATGGAGTTACTTGAATGACCTCAAATCAGAATACCATATGACATAACTGAAAGAAATAATCCATAGTAGGCTTTTTTGAGCGTCATTAAGCTGACCACATTATTTAATCCTCTCAGAACAAACAAAACAATAGAAAGTTTGCTAGTCACAGTATTGATATGACCAGACCAGCTCAATCTATTATCAATAAAAATTCCCAAAAAATGTATACTTTTAGTTGGGTGAATATTTGGATTGGTAGATACAATTATATTTTTATTCTCATTCAGATTCAGCTTATTAGCAGCAAACCAAACATGCTGATTTTTCGCTATCTCGTGTCATTAGTTATAAGCTGGTTAAGTCTTATAATAAAGTCGTATCATCTGCAAACCAGGTACATCTTGCTGGTTTTAAAAAACTGCATAGGTCATTGATATAAATCAAAAACAATAGTGGACCTAAAACGATCCCTAAGGAACTCCATGCTTCATTTTTTTTTATATCTGACTTCACATTGTTCACTTCAACATATTGGTACCTATTCATGAGATAAGACTGAACGAGCTTGAGAGCTATGGCTCAGATACCATAGTTACTCATTGTTTCAATTAAAATAGTATTCGCCACACAGTCAAAAGCATTTGTCAGGTCACATGGAGTCAAAAAAGAGTGATTTCCCTGATCAAGACCTTCGACTATGTTAGATACTAGATTGTAAGCTGCTTGAGTAGTAACCTTATTTCTTCAAGAACCATATTGGGAACTGTTGAAGTAGAACTGTTCAAAGTAAGAATAAAAACAAATTTTCTAAATTATTTCAATTACTGTAAGAACGTACTCATTTCAAAAATACAGGGCTATTCAAATTCGAGTCTACACATGGGGATCTCCTAAACTGCAAGAGATAGAGTAAGTTAAATCGGTGCAAAGTTGCCTATTTCCGGATACTATTGAATGATTGCAAAAAGTCGACTTTTGCTTTTTTGGTTCCTGAGATATAAAAGTACTGCTTCTTGACGCACGTTTCTCCAATAAACTGTTTCTGATATGTACGTTTGAGGAAAAAGGAAACTATTCGTTTCCCAAATAATGTTTATTCATCAATGAACATTACTGATCTACATACACACTTGGAAAAGTATATAATAATATAATGACCCTTCAGAGCAGTTTCCCAAAAAAAACCTACTCGACCCTTTTGTAAACGCGTAAAAAGAAACATAAAATATATCTAACAAAAACAGTGGCGTATTCTATTTAATAATACATTACAGTTTCTATTACAGCAACTATTATGTTCTCATCACCGATCTATAACTTCCACTTGTACAATGTAAATTGAATAAGATTTTATCCTTATTTTCAGGTTCCAGATTGGACATAAATTCATCATTAAGATTGAACAGCAACAAAGTTACCAAACTAGAAGAGATAACCAACCGAGTGTTTGAGAGCATACTTCAAGAAAAATCAGACTCGTCCGTTTTTAAACAGAACAAATCTGAAAAAGGATCTGTCAAGGTATGTATGCAGTCCATTTCTGTCAAATATTTTCTGAGCATGTTTATCATCTGCATAGACTTTGTTACTGCTGCCAAACATCAGGTTCCTGAGTTTTTTTTTTTGTTTTAGAGTGAAGATTGGGGATCCGAACACTCTTCAACGTTCATCGGGAAGTTTCTGAGGCGGGACTCAGGCTTGCACGATCGAAAAAAGAAAATGATTGCAAAGAAATTAAATTCTAATGAGGATACAGTCATCGTTGCTGGCAGCGATCAGTGTCCGAACAAAAAGCCTTTGGTCGCTAAGTTGAGGGCAGGTGCTAGCAAGTTGCATGTCACACGCAGCGAAAGTGATGGTGAGAATGAGAATATTATTATTGAATTTCTTGTCTCATTAAATTAACTTTTCTGATAGTGGAAGAAGGAAATCAAAAGAGGGACCAAGACTAAACAAACTCCCAATAAAAACTAACACATTGTTTAGCAAGAATAATCTTGGCACATCGTTTTTCATATTAAATATGTCTGTAAGTGGTTAGGACACAGTATCAATTTTTAGGCATATTTCTTGATAATAGATTACTAGATTTTTTTATTAACTGCTTGCTAAACAAACAAAAGACAGAAAAAAAAGAATTTCAATAAAGACTCTTGAAAAAGATGTGTAAATCATACACCGAAATTTCTTTCAAAAGAAACTGGAAGAATTCCTTCCATAATAACTACTTTATAATCGTTCAAATACAAGAAAATACAAGAATAGCTTTCAACCTTTAAGTAGACCTTAAACAATTTCAAATGAAAATATGATCTCAAATTCCTCATCAGCACCTTCTTCAATATTTTTTAAATATCCTCAGTCCTTGCAAACAGTTCACGACTATATAGGACTCTAAGAAAAAAATATGTTTATCATAATGGTAAAGTAGGAAGCCAAAAAGATTCTATACCAAAAATATTTTTTTTTTGAGGGTAATGTAGTTGTATAGTTTTTTCAAGGATTAAACTTTTATGAGTCCACCTGGAGAATGAAAATGTTCCTTGTGATATGACATCAAACCTCTTTCATATATTGAGTTGTGTAACGTTCCAATGTATGATACTTGTTTCAATTCCATCACAAATGGGTGGAGTACAAACTGTCCATAATTGTTATGTGTAGATTTTTTTTCTAGTTTGTATGTGTAATGTTCATAAATGTTTTGTGTAGATTTTATTTTAATTTGTATGTGTAATGTTCATAAATGTTTTGTGTAGATTTTTTTTTTAATTTGTATGTGAAAAAAAAGTCTATACATCTTTTTGAAGGTTCTTATCGATACAGTTAAATTTTTCTTTAGAAACTTCTCACTCACCCTTCATTGATGGAAAAAAGATTTTTTTCTCAAACTAATCTCTCCTAATCTAAACAAATCTCCCTATACTTGGTCATTACGAATACACTTGTCAGAAGTTAGAAAATCAGTCATTATTTTGAATATTATTAATGTAAATAAGTTCCAAAATACCACCTTTTTTTATTTTTACTAGAAACTTCATTTCTTCTAATATTGAGAACCTTTTTTTCAGAACTAGTGGAAGGTCTTTCTCGTGCTCAACGAAGATTGGAGGACCAGCGAGGCACGGAAATCAATTTCGAGCTCCCGGACTTCCTGAAAAACAAGGAAGGTGATTGCCAGACCAAACCGCAAGTTCAAACCGAACCTGACAGAAATTCTCTGTTCTACTTGGCAGAGTCCACGTCGAACTCACAACCAGAGAGAGCTGCTCTTTTGGCTTCAGCGAAGAATTTGAAGCAGGAACGTCAGTCCAACTACGAAAATAGATACGTGCTGATCAGAGACAAAATAGTTGACGATAGCCTCAAATCACCACCCTTCATTTCGAGCTCAGAGGAAACTAGTTCATCCAATCAGTCGACTCCCGCAAAATCATCATTGAACAACACAGTTATTGAGAACAACAGGCACGGAGACCCACCACCGCTGCCACCCAAGCCGAAAATCGTACCAATTAAGCCCAAAAATTGGGGTCAAGCCATGTTCTTGGAACAGACATCCAGCAGCTTTGTATAGAGTTCGGCGAAGTGGTTCAATATTCTTTAGAAATGTTCTAGCTTTAAATGGTATTATTTATTATGAGTATATTATTGGTACGTTTTGTATTGAAGAAGTATTATATTTAATATTTAAATATATATTTTTATGTTACAGTTTTTGTTTTATTTTTCTATCTTCAGAGGAGTGGTTTTGAAATAGCGTTATTATGTGATCAATGTAAATGTGATCCTTGCACAACTGTCTAGACTAGTTTTTCTTAAAAAAGTAAAACATGTGCATGTCCAACATAAAACTACGGGCTATGAAGTCTTCATTTTGAACAGTAACAGAAAGTTTATTAGAGTTATAGCCGGAGAGGTGGCGACAAAAATTGACAAGAGTTTAGTAATGGCCCATAACTTGATACTATGTAGTATTGAGGGTGTACATGAGTCAGCACCTATTAGCAAGGTCAGGTAGTGGAACACCTGGCGGCGGCACGCTTTGATGTATGTAAAGTTGCACCATGCTCTACAAGTACTTAGTAATATTTAAAAACTTGCAAAAAAGTAGTTTGTAATATAAAAAAGGGGGTCAAAGTGGTAAGACCGCATTATTGTGGAACGCTGCGAGTTGGCACGCTATATAAATTGTCGCCAGAACGATGTCGGTGCAAGAGCTTAGTAACTACTGAAAATTGATGTACTGCTTTATTATTATATATAAGTTAATAAAAAAACAGTCAGATCACAAATTAATGGAACGGAGGTAGTCAGTCACTTAACGTGCGGATATTGAGTGCGCGCAGATATTTGGAGCGCAGAAAATTATTAAAAGATAAGAAATCAGATTATTTCAATTTATTAAAAATTAGTTACAATGTTATTTATTTTGAAATTCACCGGACATAATGCCATTATTCTATTATTTGAAAATGCAATAAAGGCATGTATATGAGTATGCAACGAGACCAAAAAAGGTTTCGTTTCATATGTTGGGTCTCAACATAGAAAAAGTTTTATCATTCCCGTTAACACCAGTGCCTCTATCTTTATGTCACCTTGACGGTACAATTTGTAAGACAGATAAGTCAGCTTTATTGAAAGTACTGGAAATTAAAATTAAAAGCACAAATCCCCACCTAAATATAATTGTAATTAATGGTTTCTTTTTTTTTACTTACTCAAAGATATACCTTTGCAATTTGGAAATATTTCTAACCAAATTTTACAATCCGTACTCAAACAAAATGCAAAAAATATTGCTATAATTTTTGACACATATCAATGACCCTCAATAAAAGACACTGAGCATACTCTCTATGGTGCTGCTGAAAACCAATGTATCAAATGCTCTGATACTGATATTTCAATTATAATGCTTGCAAATATGAATAACGATAATAATAACTGCAAAATTTGGATTGAAGCCGACGTTGGAAATCATAAACGTCACACAATTATACTCCCCATATCTTGGAAAGTCTCTTTGCGCTGCTTTGCCAGGTTTATATTCCTTAACCGGGTGTGATTACAATTCGTCGTTCTACAAAAAAGGCAAGAAAAGTCCTTTTACTATTACAAGGATCACTAGAATTTCAACAAGCTTTCGCTGAATTAAGCAATATAGAGGACAACGATTCTACGCAAATATTGAATAAAATACAGGAATTTGTTTGCCTTTTATATAGCCTAAAAAAAGTTAATACAGTTAATGAAGCTCGACTCGCATTGTTTACAAAATGTATACATACAAAGATGAAGAAGATTTATTCAAAATAAATGCCAAGAGTGTTGATGCTTCGAGTCTGCCGCCCTGCGAAGCCGAGCTCAAAAAACACTTGCAACGTGCCGCTTACATTTCTAATATTTGAAGAAACGCTCACAAGAAAATTCTAACAAATATGTTAGCAACAGAAAATGGTTGGAATGATGTTGATGGCCGGTATGATTTCGACTGGTTTGAAGGGAATCAATTACCAACGTTCGTGAAAGACGTAATCATACAACCAAATGCAAATGAAGGTAAATTTAAATTGCGAATCTTCACTTTTACAAATGGTTATGTTACAAATATCTCGTTTGTAATATTCAGTTGTTTTTTTATAGATTTTCAGTCTGAATGTGAACAAGAAGACTACATCCATGAAACCAATTCGGACACGAACGATGAAGAAAGCGATAGTGATGCCGACTTTGTTTAAAATAATTTATTTTATTTCAAAAAATATTATGTAGTATATAACATATTGATATTAAAAAAAATGTTCTATTACAATTTGTAATTTTATAAACGAAAACGCGCGATTCGATATCCGCACTTTAAGCGACTGCTGACTACCTCCGTTCCATTAATTTGTGATCTGACTGTTTTTTTATTAACTTATATATAATAATAAAGCAGTAAAGTAAAGCAGTACAGCAGTTACTATAAGCTCTTGCACCGACATCGTTCCGGCGACAACTTATATAGCGTGCTGACTCGCAGCGTTCCACAATAATGCGGTCTTACCACTTTGACCCCCTTTTTTATACTACAAACTACTTTTTTTGCAAATTTTCAATTATTACTAAGCACTTGTAGAGGATGGTGTAAATTTACATACATTAAAGCGTGCCGCCGCCAGGTGTTCAATTACTCCACTCTCTATACAAATCTATTATGCCTAACTCCTTCCCAAAATCATAAAATGGTTAGTACACATGTACATTTAACTCACCGCTGCCTTTTTCCTGCTCGTCCCCTGTTTGAACTTTTGCACTACACTGCTCGATTTTCGCTCGAACCTTACACACTCATTCATTTCTACGTCTGAATAAAAGACTATTTTCAAAATCGCGTTTGCCGCCTGCTTTTCAAAAATAAAAAAATCAAAGAATTCAACCCAGGAGAAGTATCTCCCAAAACAAAATACCGCCCTTGATCGACCGTCAAGAGAACCCTTGAAACTCCCAAGTTTTCGAACCTCCTCAAAATTCATGCAGACTTACTTCCCGAAAAACATTCGCACCACTCTGAGACCGTTGCCTCAGGCAAAGAGCTTCCAGAACTCTCTGTCTTTTCTCCTTTCAAAAAGTCATCCCGGATTATTGTTCCCCCCGTTTCTCAAACCTTTCTTTGTAACAGTCGCCCACGTGTAACGGAGGTTACCAGAAAAACCTATTTCGCTGAATTCACAAAACTCACGATTTCAATGCTGAGATCTTGATATGCCCATTCACATCCTGAGCTACGTGACAAATATATCTAACTCTGCTCATTTCAAAACACGTCAATGAATAGTGTTTATATAAACACTCACGGTCCCTCGGCCATAATTTTACATTGTATGAGAGACAGATCCGGCGTTTAAAAAAATTCTGATTTAAAGAAATATGTCTCTTCCCGAAGTTATTACCATACGTAGTTTTCGATAGGTATAACAATATGCACCAATGAGAGGAATCAGAACAACTAATAGCCTGCACCTTGGTTTACTTTCAATATAAAAGAAATCATAAAATTGATGAACAAAGCGTTGAAAAAATTCAAAACAACTAAATCTCGTACTGATTCGGCGCATTATAGAGACATGCGTAATTTTACAACACAGGCGATTCGCCGTGAAAAAAAAGCTTACCCGGACTTCATTTTAAGAAATGATTACTCTAAAATCACCTGGAATACTTTCAAATTTTTGGATATTTTGAAATCTAAAAATAACTTTACCTTTCCACCTCATTTATCAAATTTGGATGAAGTCAACACCCACTTTGTCAATATCAGTCACCAAACAAAGAATCATACTCACATAGTTTGTCTTGATTAGTATTAACTTGCTCCTTATGCACCAAGCTTTCATTTTACTGGAATTACTCCTATTCAGACGCAACTCTACCTGGACCTCTACCTCTATCAAAAGTAAAGAGTAATTGTGTTGGATCAGACGGCATATCCATCAAAATGATCAGACTATTCGAGAGTTCTCAATCAACCACATTACCCACATTTTCAACACTGCAATTGAAACTAATACCTTTTCCACCCTTTGAAAAGATGCAATAGTACTACCATTACCTAAATGTGACAATCCAACTGAATTTTCCACACTTCAGACCCATAAGCAAACTGCCTGTATTATCCAATGCATTCGAGCTCTTAATTTGTATATACTAATATTATTTTCACATATAGTCAGTGGGCATACTTGAAGACTGGCTATAAATCAAATTATCTAAAAACAATTCGTTCAAGCCAGTCTCAACTCCCTACACAGTAGGTGAATGGACTGACACCTATCAGAAAACAACTACTCCCCTATCTAATACCACGAAGGGCGTTGGATTATATCCGACAGACGTCAGAGCAGGAACCATCACAGAAGTTATTCCTGCATATGCTGTTGGCGATACAACTGCCGCAATAGATTTTCAATTATTGGAACACACTTGCAGACCGGTTTCGGGCTGTTTGGCCAATCGGATATAATCCAACGCCCTTCGTGGTATTAGCCAGGGGAGTAGTTGTTTTCTGATAGGTGTCAGTCCATTAACCTACTGTGTAGGGAGTTGAGACTGGCCTGAACGAATTGTTCTTAGATAATTTGACTAATATTATTACTCAGGTGCAGTCTACTTTTCGTAGCTCTCACAGTCCAACAACAGCTCTCGTCAACATCACTTAGGATTTATTCCAGGCAGTCGTTAACAATGACTTATCGTTTATAGTCCTCCTTGATTACAGTAAGACATTTGACACGATGGACCATCAACTTCTTTGTAGAAAACTGTCATACTTTGGTTTTGGAGCAGCGGCATTATAGAAAATACACACGGTGTGTAGGTATTTTCTATAATGTTATCTAATTTGGTACTGAAGAGCCTTAGGGCAAGTGTCTTAAGGCGAAACATCGATGTATACCAGTGACAGTGTTCCATGTAAGTTCAATTTGTTACCATTCATTTAAAGTAGAACTCATGTGAATGATATCTGATTTGTATTCCACAACGAATGTTTGAAATACAAATTGAGTAGAAAAAAGTATTTTCTGTATAATTCAGTGTTCATATAGAAGTATTTGTTACGAAAGATTTTTTTTCTTTCGTGTAATTCAATGTTTATATGAAAGTAGCTGTTTCAGGAGAACTTTCTTTCAGTTTGTGTCTGAAAGTTACT